TCTTTTCTTATTTTTCTCCTTTTCCTTCCGCCATCTATCCTTCAGATTTTCTCATCTCAACGTCAACCTCATCCCCGCATCCGCTCCAAGCTCTCTCCTAATCTCTTTCTCCCTCTCTTCCTATCTCTCTCTCTCTCTTTCCCTCTCTCTCTCTTTCTCTCTCTCTCTCTCTCTTCCTTTCTCTTTCTCGCTTTCTCTCTCTCACTTTCTCTCTCTCTCTTTCTCTCTATCTCTCTGTGGTTTTATTTTTGTTTCTATGCACTTTCTTTCTCCTTCCTTTTTACGTTCTCTTTCTTTTCTTTCTATCTTTATTCTTTCTTTCTCTCGTTCATTTACTTTCTTTTTTTTTTTGTTTTCTTCCTTTTCTTTCTTCTGTTCTTTTCCTTTTTCTTCCTCTTTGTTTTTTTTTCCATGTCGTTTTTGTTTTCTTTCTTTTTCTCATTATTTTACTTTCTTTTTTTTTTCTCTATCTTCCGTTTTCTTAACTGTCTTCTTTTTTTCCTTTCTTTCTGTTTAATCTCTATTTGACATTTTGTTTATCTATTTATTTCTTCTTCTTTCTTTCTTTTCCAAGTCGCTTTCTCTTTCTTTCTTTCTTTCTTTCTTTCTTTCTTTCTTTTATTACTTGTTTCTTTCTTTCTTTCTTTCTTTTCACTCGGCCATTTTATCCCATCTTCTAGCCATGTTTTGCGTTTTTCCAGCACAAAGATCATCGTCCAACATCCGTTTCTGTTACTAATTCTGTGTCGTATCTTCTCTCTTTCTCTCTCTCTCTATCTCTCTCTATCTATCTATCTCTCTCCTTTCCTTCACTCTACCCGTTCAATCACTATATATCTTCAGACCTCACGCCACCAATCACCCCCGCATTTTTCCTCGCCTATTTTATCCCTTCTCTCTTATGATTTCATGTCTCCTCATCCTTTTTCTTTTTCAACCTCCCCCTCGATAATTTTTATCTTTCTCTCTCATTTTTAAATTCCTCTTTCTTTTAGTATTTTCATATTTATATTTTCATGTCCCAAACTTCTTCTATAGTCTACTCTCTTTTTTTTCTAAATCTTTTTTCTTTTCTTCTTTCTTTCTCTCTCCCTCACTCTCCCTCTCTCTCTCACTCTCTCTTTCTCTTCTTCACCATCTCTCTTTCCCCCCTCTCATGCTTCCATATACGCTCTTTTACTTTTTGATATTATTCCTTTCAATTATTCTCAGTATTCTTTCTTTTCCTTTTTTTTCTTTCTTTCTTTTCCCTTTTCTTTCCTTTCTTTCTTTCTGCTCCATGTATTTTCTTTTCTTTCTTTTTTCTTTCTTTCGTTAATTATTTATTTTTCTTTCTTTTTTCTTTCATTCTCTTTCTTTTGTTGTCAGCTTCTTTCTTTCGGTTCCAACTTGTTCTTTTTCCTTTTCTTTTCTTTTTCTGCCTTTCTTTCTTTCTTTATTTATTTATTTATTTAATTCTCTTTCTTCTTTTTTTCGTTCTCTTCCATTTTAGTTTTCTATTCCAACTAGCTTTTTCTTTTCCTCTTTCGTTCTTTCTTTCTTTTCTTTCTTTCTTTCTTTCTCTCTCTCTCTCTCTCTCTCTCTTTCTTTTTTTCTTTCACGAAATCTTAATCTCTTCCCGTTAATTCATTAATCTTTCTTCTTCATCCTTTCTTATCCCTTTTCCTTTGATCTATCAGTAACGAAGTCTCCGCATTTCAACAGAGAAGTAGGAACAAAAAAGACCGAAAGAGACAGAATGGGAGAGAAAGAGAGAGAGAGAGAGAGAGAGATTAGAGAGGAATGGAACAGATAGAGAAAGAGGGAAAAAGAAAGAGAGAAAGCGGGAGGCGTGCAAGATGCACACAGGTCATCTTATTAAAATATAGCTGTCATGAAGATCAACATTTATACTTGCTTTCACAGCTACGGATGGTCAAACTGGCTATAATTCTGCTACTATTTGCTTGTCTAATTAAGTCTTTCAATGTCAACAACCGCCCACATGTAACTACTCGGTTCATCCCTAGATTCGTTTCCTTTACTGATTTGTTAGCATAAAAAATCCTGAACATACCACAGAAGTCGCGATGACCTTGAAGGTCGGATTTTAAAAAAATATATAAAAAAAAAATTGAAGGCATTCAAGTTCGAAAGGACCGTTATTTTATTAGTTTTTTTTTGTTTGTTTGAATTTTTTTCGTTGTTGTTGTTATTGTTTCAATAAAATAAACAGAAAATTATCAAAAATTTCCAAAACATGTATGCGGCAATCGAATTCATTGTTCCTTGCGTTCTCGTCTTTTTTTATTTCCTTTCTTCATTTTCTTTTCTTTTCAAAATGTCCGCGTGAATCATGGAACAGTACCACTCAAAGAATTGTTCTGAATATCACCAAAGAAATCCTTATTCAACCATGCGTACTAGGCGTGTAATAAAAGACTCATTTAATGAATAGAATAATATGCGTGAAAACAAGACCAAATTAAGCCGATGTATGCCTTTGTGAGTTAATATGCATACATTGAATTATCAAAAAATGTACTTTAATTCAGTTCCATTTCGAGTTCATAATATATGCTTTTTGGTGTTTTTTTAATGTTTTTTTAAATGTTTTTTGGTGTTTTTTTGATGTTTTTTAGAAAAATGTTTTTTCATGTTTTTTAATGTTTTTGGTGTTTTATTGATGTTTTGTGGTGTTTTATTGATGTTTTTTTGATGTTTTTTTAATGTTTTCTGGTGTTTTTTTTATTTTATTTTTTTACATAGTGTTGTTCACCCTGTACAAGGTGCAGGAACCACTAGAGGATTACAGAGAGACAGGCGCAGTTTATGTGGATATGCGGGGAAGATAATAGTTAACCCAAGATTTCAATAGGTTAAAATTGCAGTGATCTGGAAAACGCCCTCTTACGGGCCGGTTCCACAGAGCAGTGGTTCATGGGAAAAAGTAGTTCGACTGGAACTAACTTCTCACCAATTAAATACGAAGGGAATGAGGATGGTTCGCTACAATGGGCGTGGCATAGCGGGTCCTAGTTTAAAACTAGCGAAAATAACAAATACAGTTCGTCTGAGCACTTTCCGTGGAAATAGTGATTGAGCAGTGAGAAGCTTGCGACGCTTCGTCTGTGAGGAAGGGCTCTTTACTCGGTTAACTGATATATACATATACGCACACACACACACACATTACATATATATATATATATATATATATATATATATATAGATAGATAGATAGATAGATAGATAGATAGATAGATTCCCAGATCAATTCTGTGGACAAGACGCGTCGGAAAAAAATTTAAGATTTTTTCCAATTGTCATTTTATGCCATATATATATATATATATATATATATATATATATATATATGTATGTATATATTATACTAACAGTAATACTTGGCTGGTAAAAAACCTCGGATAGCATAATTTGTAAGTCTATCAAAACAAATTGGTACCCGAGGGGAAAAAAACCCTAACAGGGCGGAATAAATCGTCCAGTGCCTTAAGTTTTCAGCGAGTAATAAAGCTAAAACGGAGAGTGCTCAATATGTTAAGTAGAGCAGGGAGAAATGAAGAATGAAATAAATCCTAAAGAGCCAGGAACAACCTACCTAGATTTCACCTAAACGGATCTTCAGCGTATATATATATCTATCTATAAAAGGCAGGATGTGTGTGTGTGTGTGTGTGTGTGTGTAACGAATGTACGGTCGCAATTTTCGACGGATTTGCACCAAAATTTACATGCACATGCTCCAAGTTGGTGGGAAGGCCAAGACCGACTTTGCATTTCCCAACTTCCATCGATAGTGGAAATAATCGATTTTTTTCATGCTTCTAAGGCAGTATTACATGTAGTTTGCGGCTATTTTCTACTGGCCAGAGTGAGAGACTATAGCTGGCTGCCACGAATAGGCAGGAAGATTCTATTGGCCAGCGTGAGAGCCAACAGTTGACTGACATGAATGTTAACTAGCATGCTATCATGCAAAAAAAATCGATAGCTGCATTCGTCACAAGTGGGAAAAATTTAAATCTGCATGGCACTTTACTCCAATTGGCTCATTCGCTTGCTTAAACTCAACGTTGATTCTGATTCCGCAGAACTGGGTTGGGTGTGAAAAAGTAATTGTTGTTAACATTCTTTTTTCATTCGGTTTTTCCAGTTACGAGTCCTTTTTTAAAGCTCATCGTTTTGTGTTCATTTTGTTTAGTTCAGTTTTCGTAAAAGATTTAATGTTTAGTATAGAGATTAGAAAAAATTCGCAGTGTGAGATAGGCAAGAAGTAAGGAATGTAGCAACATCAGCACGGCAAAGGGCACTCCTTTAAAGTCAAGTGATAGCGATTGCTGTATGAGTCGTTTGATTTTTTAATCAAGCACGGGCAACGCCAGGCCATGCTGCTAGTGTACATATATATATATATATATATATATATATATATATATATATATATATATATATATATATATATATATCGGCCTGGTGAGGCGTACCTCGCGAGCGGTTCCTTTGAAACGTTAAAGCCTGCGGGCGGTACTTTTTGAGAGTTGAAGTGAAATTGGGTTACGCAAAACCACAAGTCATCGTGACTGAGGGTTGGCGTTTACTGATGTTGCCAAACTGCTGATCATGACAGAGTGTACGCCCTCTACTAAAAGACTCTTCTTCTTCTTCTTCTTCTTCTTCTTCTTCTTCTTCTTCTTCTTCTTCTTCTATGTGCTGTGTTTTTCAGGGCCTTGACTCGTCAAGCAGGATATGCGCCGTTTTCGTCTGTTCCCATTGCCATCAGTATGCCCCATCAGTGTCCTATTTTTTGAAGCCCTCTTACCTCGTTATGTGTCCTGGAAATGTCAGCTCTTTTCTGATAAGTGTACTTTCTGTTTCCATTTTCTCTAAAACGTCTTCTTTGATCACATGTTCGGCGCAAGTTATTTTCAGCATCCTTCTGTAGAACCACATTTCTGTTGCTTCAAGTCTCTTCTTCATCTGTGAGGAGGTTGTCCAGCATTCACTGCCATATAGCAGGACTGATATTACATAACAGTTCAATACACTTTTCTTTGTTTCTCTTGCTTCAAGTCTCTTCTTCATCTGTGAAGAGAATCTCCGGCATTTGCTGCCATATACCAGGACTGATATCACGTAACAGTTCAGTACTCTTTTCTTTGTTTCTCTTGCTTCAAGTCTCTCCTTCATCCGTAAGGAGATTGTCCAGCATTCACTGCCATATCGGAGGACTGATATTACGTAACAGTTCAGTACTCTTTTTTTTTGTTTCTCTTGCTACAAGTCTCTTCTTCATCTGTGAGGAGATTGTCCAACATTCACTGCCATATATTACATAACAGTTCAGTACACTTTTCTTTGCTTCTAACGAACTACTGTATAAACTACAGATTGACTCTGTGGGTGTTGAACAAACACAAATGTGCTTGAGCTGGTGTCTGCGACAGGGATTAGCTAGTCGCCCCTGCAAACGAGTGTGCCCGAAAAAAGCAGCCATTACACACACATATATATGTGTGTGTGTGTGTGTGTGTGTTTGTGTGTGTCTGTGTGTGCCTGTATTTTTTGAAACAAGACCGGCAAGGTTCTTTTTTCTAATATTTCTATGATATTTTTCTTGTACACTAAAAAATCTTTTCTTTTGAGTGCTGAAATCTGATGATTCCGAACGCGTTAATCTATGTTTTTTTTTGTTTGTTTTTTTGTTTTTTGGCATTGTTTTCCCGAGAGTCACTCAAGGTAGAATGTTACTGAATAGGCTTGTTCTAGGAAGATAAAAATTGTTGATTATGAAGATATGTAGGATAGATAAAGATTGACCCTCGACTAGAAAATGGTAACATTGTAGCATTCGGGTAAGGATCCACTTGGGAGCATGTCCAACAAAGCTACGGTTCTCTGAAAGAAGCTGTCTGATTGCGACTTCTTCCATACCCATGGAATACGAAAGGAAAGAGAATGATTCGCCTCCCGTGGGCCTGGTAGGGAAAGTCTTAGCTGTAAAGATCTGAACAGGTGGAACGAAGGAATCTAGTTCGTCAGAATATTTGCAATGGAAATAGCGTTAGGCATGTGATTTTACGCCTGTGGGAAAAGGGGTTGTAGGATGGGAAACTCTGATTTTGAACTTTGTGCAGCTCCAGCATAGATATGGTAGCAATACTCTATTTTTGGTCTAATCTGACTCTTGTAAAGATAAAGCATTGCAGAAGGAATCACATACTTCCTCGAGGGATATAAGGAGCCTTCATCATTCTTTTCTAGATTCTTTAGCGATGGATCGTATATATGAGTTCTACTTGAAGTCTGGGATGAGCTTGAGTGTCAATAGCCTTTTAAAGCAAGGTAACTCATTGAGAGTGGAACCGTTCATCATGGGGGAGGAGAGAATTTAGGGTTAAATCGGGGATTGTTAAAAGTTACAAACCAGTTTTTTTGTTTTTTTTTTTGGTGGGGTTATCCCTTCATTGAGCTGTTAGAGCTTAATCAGATGAGAGATCAGAGTCTGGTTATCTACATTTTTGGAGGCGCACCCATGCTGTCGGGGTGTCAAGTCCGACTGTTTGGAGAAAGGGAAGGTAGAAAAAAAAAACTATAATAGCATTTCAAGCGAAACTCGGCGAAG